CCTATGCAAACTTAATTTGGTGTTGTTCTGAGTCGTTGTTAATTTTTGGTGATTTTTTTGTTTTCTCTCTCATTGAAATGTATTGGACGGATAGTTCAATAGAGTTCAATGAGGGAAAAACAAAAAATCACCAAAAATTAACAACGACTCAGAACAACACCAAATTAAGTTTGCATAGGTTTCAGGAGGTGGGCTAACGATTGCAAGCATTTAAAACAGGTTTCAAACAGTTTAAGGCACTTTTAAATGAGGGAAAAGAGACATCATTGTGTGAAAATCCCCCATAGGAAACATCGTTGTGTGAGGCGGCAAATTTATCAGAAAAAGCCATCGTTGTGTGAATTCATCGTTGTGTGAGGCACCCGTTGTGCGAGGCACCACTGTATTTATTTAGGAGATTTATACGTTATTTTCAAAGTTCTTCCAAAGTAGCTTACAATCAGGAAGTGTTAAACAATAATCCTATAAAACCTCCTATTATTGAAAGGCCAGATCATACAGTTAATAATCCATAATCAATATGTAAGGAATATGACCAGTGAAGGAGGAGTTTATATTACCATAATTTACAGCCCAGTCCTATGGTCTCTAGGGCAATGTTCTTGATCAGTTAGACAGGTTGACATGTTGATAGTTGTACTCCAACTGTAGACACAGAGCTCCAGTTCTGAAGATCTGACCCTGAGATTTCCCTTGTCCCCATGCAAAAAACCGTAGATCTTCTCCAAATTTGGAGAAGGAGGTAGGGTTGGGATTGTAGGATGGGAAAAAAGAGACTCTGGATCTACAAGTTCCTAAGGCTTCCCCATCTTTGATTGCCTTCCTAACAAAAGGGGAATAATGGTTGTTGTGGGTTTTTCGGGCTTCTTGGCCGTGTTCTGAAAGTGGTTCTTCCTAACGTTTCGCCAGTCTCTGTGGCCAGCATCTTCAGAGGACAGCAAACTGTGCTCTGGGTAGGCTTGAGAATGGGTGGAGTATTTATGGCTGTGACAAGGCTGTGGGACCCCCTCACTACTGCAGGAGTATACCGGATACCTTGCAGTTGAGGCCAGGTATACATTGGAACCACAAAACGTGTCCTCTGAAGATGCCGGCCACAGAGACTGGCGAAACGTTAGGAAGAACCACTTTCAGAACACGGCCAAGAAGCCCGAAAAACCCACAACAACCATTAGATCCCGGCCGTGAAAGCCTTCGTGAATACACAAAAGAGGAATAGTTTGTACAAAGTGTGAAATTGGTCTAAATAATTTATTTCCCTTTGTTTTCAGTGAGATAGAACTGATCAAAACAAAAAAACCACAAAAATGTATTGTTTAAAAGTCCCTGATTGTTTTGTAATAAAAAGTAAGAATGGCAGAAATGGCTATCCCTGACTTCTGCTCTTCTAATATCTTCTGGATATGTCAGAGCAATCTGATGTAAGATCATTCTCATTTAGCTGTAGGATTGCCTTGTTAGACATTGTTGTAGTCATCTGAATGAAATAGATAACTTGCAATACATGGTCATTATATTTTTGGTTGTTCTGGGTTTTTCGGGCTCTTTGGCCGTGTTCTGAAGGTTTTTCTTCCTGACGTTTCGCCAGTCTCTGTGGCCGGCATCTTCAGAGGACATTATATTTTTATTGGTTTTACAGCTTTATTGCATCTGGTTTTAGGTACTTTTTTGTCACCTCCTGCATTTCATGGCTAGTTTATTAACACATCAATGGTTTCTAACCTGTACATTGACATTCCATGAATGATAGTTATGAGCTGCATTGACAAAGGTAGAAAAATAGTGCATTGCACTAATGGGGCAGTGTATTAAATAAATAAATAAATAAATAAATAAATAAATAAATAAATAAATAAATAAATAAATAAATAAATAAATAAATAAATAAAATTTATTAAAATTATGTACAGTATAGAGTTATATAGTCCCTTGCAAACAGCTATGTTTTTTGTAATGCAAAAAAATGCTAGTTTTTATTTTGCGGGAGTTCGATTGTAAAAGTAATATGTGACCATTTTAGTTCATAGGCATAGAAACAAAGATTTATGCTTTTGACTGTATGAATTTTCCCAATTTCATATTGAGTTTAAACTGGATTTTTTGGAACAGAGATAAATTTTATTAAAATTATGTACAGTATAGAGTTATATAGTCCCTTGCAAACAGCTATGTTTTTTGTAATGCAAAAAAATGCTAGTTTTTATTTTGCGGGAGTTCGATTGTAAAAGTAATATGTGACCATTTTAGTTCATAGGCATAGAAACAAAGATTTATGCTTTTGACTGTATGAATTTTCCCAATTTCATATTGAGTTTAATTTATTAAAATTATGTACAGTATAGAGTTATATAGTCCCTTGCAAACAGCTATGTTTTTTGTAATGCAAAAAAATGCTAGTTTTTATTTTGCGGGAGTTCGATTGTAAAAGTAATATGTGACCATTTTAGTTCATAGGCATAGAAACAAAGATTTATGCTTTTGACTGTATGAATTTTCCCAATTTCATATTGAGTTTAAACTGGATTTTTTGGAACAGAGAGGATGGTGAACTTGAAGATGGTGAAATAGATGATACTGGATTTGAAGAAGATAAAGAAGAACAAGATACAAAAGTTGAAGATAAACAGAAAAATGAAAAAACCCATAGAAAATCACGGAAGAAACGCAAAAAGGAAAAGGAGAAGAAAAAGTCAAAAAGGAGAAGACGAGATAAACACAAAGTCAGTATTGTTGGTCAACATTCTGTGCAATTTGTGGATGTAATTATAGTTATTACATTCCTTTACTCCAGGGGTCTCCAAACTTTTTAGTGAGGGCCACACCGGATATTTCCAAAGTTTTTGAGGGCCGAAAGAACAAGAATGTGTGCGACCGCCTGCACACATCCCGCACGGATAGACCACAGCTGCCTGCCTGCGCCGCCAGTCATGCACAGACGCATGCACAGACGCATGCACAGATGCACGCACATCCCTGCACACACAGACGCACGCACTCTTGTGCACACAGGCTGAAAGGCAACGGGACAGACAAAATTGCAACGCAGGCCATAGTTTGGAGACTCCTGCTTTACTCAAAGCAATGTTTATACTTTGGAATAATTTTGCATAACTTTATTGGGAATAAAACCTACAGGATGGTGAGATTCAAAGTAGCCAATAGAATCAGCCTGCTAAATCATTGCCTGTTGCTTCCTGCTTTCCTATACAGCACAAGCAAGCCATGATGTGTTTATCCAAGAATGTATTATGTGACATCTTGGGATAGCTTTGTCTGTTTTACAAACTGATGAAACGGTCCAGTATTGCCATTATGTGTGTATTGTTGCGGGGGGGGAGGGGAATCTGGCTGGCAGTATTAAAGAAAAGAAAAATATGCTGCTTATATACTTCCCCATAGCGCTTAAAGCACTTTCTGGGTGGTTTGCAATTTAATTATACAAGCTACACATTGCCCCCCCCCAAGTTGGGTACTCAGTTTACAGACATCAGAAAGATGGAGTCATCTTTGCGACAGCTACCTGAGCCCAGGATGAAACTCAGGTCATGAGCAGAGTTTGCACCACATTACTGCAGTTTAAACACTGCACCACAAGGCTATTGTATATAGTAAATTTGTTTTTGTGTTTGAGTTATAAACCATGATCTAGAGTCTAATTTTTCCCACTCTTGTAGCATTTTAAGTATATGTCTCCCATACGTTAAATATATAGCCTAATATACATTCTTACATGCCGACAAGTAAAACTATTCTTACTTTTCAGCATAATTCCCCTTCCAGTGGTGATAGTTCTGATTATAGTATTGATTCTGAAGCTGAACGTACAGAAAGATCACATAAGAAAGGATCTAGCTACTACAGAGACTATGAGTCGTCATTTCTTCAGGTATTATTTTCCACAATATTAAATGTACACAGGATTCTACCACATGATTTCAGTGTCCCTCCTGTAATAAAAGCATTTATCTTTTGTTCTCAGACTATTAATTTAAGCATATGGTATCTTACCATACACAGTATCTAATTTAGATGTCTTTGCATCCATGTTGAACTATGATGAATGCAGGCAAAAGAGAAAATATTATCCCTATTAAATTACCTAGTTTCCGGTCAAGATGAAGCCATTTGTATTCCTGTCTATTTTTCAGTGAGGTAATCTTGCTTGGTACTTCTCCGTTACAGAGGAAATTGATATCACCTTGGGTTTCACTGGTGCCTTAGTTTTCCTATTGCTCATACCACAATTATTCACAGTGAGCTAAAAATATAGAAAGAGAGAGATGTCTAAAGTTGCATAAACTTAACAGTAGTTGAGACACTTGTTTGAATTTCTGCAATGTGGTATCCCAGTATCTGCAGAAGATCGTTCACATTAGTTACAAAACAGAAAGCTCATATTTCAGTATGAGTTTTTTTTATGGCTTCATATGACAGAACATATGAATGACTCAGCTGAACAGCTTCTAGAGGTAAATGGAACATTTTTCAAGAGGCTGCTTGCTGTCCACAGTAGTACCGTTCAGGGGAACTTTGGGATTGTTTTGTCTACTCTTATTTTGTACCATGCAGTGGCATGCAAAGAGCAAATCTTTTTAAGGATAGACAAGTACACAGGTACAATGTTGCGTATTATTTTCTTTAAGTCACAGTAGATAAAACTTGTAGAACACATGCTTTTTCTTTACAATGAAACAGGGTCAATTCTCTCATGCCCAGTTGTGTTGTTGTTGTTAATTATTATTAATTATATATTATATCACACCATTTAGTGGCCTTTCCACTACTATGAGCGATTTCCAGCAATGAAATAAACATACAGCCAAATCCTATCCAATCCAGAAATTTAAAATTAAATGGTAACAGATCAAAAAATCAAGTTGGAGAACTGCTTGTTGATTGCAGCAGCTGATATCCGAACTTGTGTACTAATGTACTTTTCATTGTAATTTTCTTTCATTCAGCATGGCCATGTTTCTGGAAAATATACATCTTCACAGAAGATACAACATAATAAAAAATCAAAGAACAAAGACTATGATAATTATAGTGATGACTTTGGCTACATTGAAGATGAAAAAGAAGATTTTGCTGACCAACTAAAACAATATAGACAAGTTAAAGAAACATCAAATATTGATGTAGATACTCCAGTTTTGAAAGAACCAGTGAAAAAACAGGGGATGAAAGGGATTCAGAAAGGTAAGACAGGAGCAGTAGATTAATTTGAGCTGGAAACCAGCCCATGTAGAATGGAATTGTAATATTATTAGAGATACAATGCTTAAAAGCAACAGTTTTCTTCCATTTGATAGTTTGGAATGGGACCTGTTTGTGTTGAGGTTCCACATTGATTTTTATGACTGGGCAAGCACTATTGTTGTGGCAATATGTGAGGGTCTTTCCTCTGCTGCTTATTCAGGTCCTTAATTTATAAATTTCTTGGGCCACTCCTTTCTTCCTTGCTTTTACTACCTTTTTTGTTCATTACAAATAAGCATTTAGAAAATTAGATACATTTTTCTAAAGTTATTTATTTTCAGATGTTAAATGCATATTTCATCACTGCTAAAAAAAGTGCACTCAAGGCAAAAAGCTAGACTGAAGAAAAAAGGTCTTTGCTTGCTGATGGACAACAAAGGAAGGATACCAGAGAAGTTGCCAGAAAGAAAGTTTCTTTCAAAGGGAGTTCTTCTAGAGCCTTAAAGTTGTCAATAAGAACGCTCAGTCTGTATTAAATATCTTAACTAATAATAAAAATCAAAAGGTCAGTGCAGAAATCATACCATTATAGGCAATGAATAGTGTTAATCTCAAATTTTTCATTTCATAGATTGACAAAACCTGAGTGCATCTTTACAAATAGGAGCAATTTGTTTATTTCAGCATTTGCTATTGCCATTTTGTTGCTGTTAATAGGTAGATAATTTCAGCATCAGCTATATGAATAATTTTATAACATCCTTACTGATTTATTTGGCATATTGCTGTTTTGTTTCAGGTTAGACACCTATCCAATCTCAAAGAGAGATTAATTCTAGCATAGAGAGAGTACTCTTAGCATATTATGGACATTAAAATGCAAGGATGTTGTAGGCAAGGAGGGAAGAATTATACCAACCTGTAGACTGTATTATATAAACTTAAGAAGAACTGGAACCCAGCACATTATCAGAAGCAGAAGGCAAAGACATGGCTCCTGTTATGTGATCTTCCTGAGTGCATGCAGAGCAGAAACATGTCCTCAGTCATCGGGCCCAGCAAAATGGTTATCTCATATAAAGTTTGTACTGTACCAACTGCAGGAATTATCAGTATGTTTCTCAGGCCAATTTAAAATACTGTTCTTGAACTTTCAGGGTTTTAATGGTTTGGGCCCAGGTTGTCTGAAACATGAAGTATCCATCTGCTTGTGCGTTAAGATCAGAAGCAGACACTTTTCATCTGCTTACCTTTGGGGTCAGTTAAGTGAAGAAGTGTATGAGAGAGGATTTTTCTGCATTTGTCCTACACTTTTGGAAGGGATTGCTTATTTTCTGAAGTCTGCCAGGCCACATCACTCCCAGCTTTTGGGAAAGCTCTGGAGTTCTGCCTGTTTCCTTTTGTCTTACTCTGAGCATCTTTAATAAGACTATGCTTGCTTTTCAGCTGCAGCTGTTTTGGATTCTGGCTAAATTTTTTAAAAAATCTGCAGTTTGTTGAATGTTTTTTATTGTGAGTGTTTATTGATTTGATTCATTTTTGCTGTTTTATTATTGGATATGATTTTACAGAGGTGCAAGTTTTATCATGTAAGCAAGCTTGACAGGATTTGAACTGAAAGTCAGCCTAGAAACATTTTAACTAATAAACAGTGGTCAAATATTTTCAAAGCATTAACTGTGTTACAGCAACAGACAATTTAGTTACCGTATTTTTTTGCTCCATAAGACGCACTTTTCCCTTCAAAAAAGTGAGGTGAAAAGTCTGTGTCTTATGAAGAAAATACATTGCGTTTGGCTCTCTCTAGTGGTCCGTCTGATAATTACACCTTTTTTACAATGCTGATCTGGAATGACACTGCCTCAAGCTTGCTGGGACTAGGCAAAATGGTGGTAGCTTAACAGCCCCCCCCCCGTACTGTACTCATTAGTAGTGCTGATACTACAGGGCATCCGTAGCAGCCCTGTAGGACCAGCGCTGCTTACTGGACAGCCGGATCACGTGACCAGCCCAGACACGGGAGAAACAGACAGACAGAGAGAGAGGAGAGCTTCACAGAGGAAGGGAGAAGACTCATCCAGGTACCGTAAATAACATAATACAGAGGACTTCGTGGATTGCTGACTGGTGACATTAAGGGGCACATGAGGCATTGTTGTGAAAAGTAGGATTTGTTTCAGTTGCTCACTGAGTGAAAGGCTTTTAGTTCTTTTGAGATTTGTCATACCATTCAAAGCAACCCATTCTAATGGTATCTTAAACCTGAATTTTTGATACTTTACACGGATGTATTGCGTCTTGGAGTGTCTACTTCACTCCCCTAATGGTGAACATAATTCAAAATGTATTATATAAAGTAATAGACCTCCTCATGTGGAATCGCTCTGCCTATAGAGACACCATACAACTTTTACACTATTTGGTTCAGAATATTTTTTCCTGTTTTCCTCCTCTAAAAATTAGCTGCGTCTTATGCTGAGGTGCGTCTTATGGAGTGAAACATACGGTAACTCTTTGTTCTGAATTGGTGATATTAATTTGCAATTTACAAATTGGTTGCACTTGTCATAGTTAAAGTCAAGCAACGTTCCCTCCAGTTTTCCAGAGTGCTGGGCAGGATCTGCCCTGTGCATGCAGGCCAGCAACATTGGCTCGGTTGCACAGCCCCAACGTCATGCTACGTGAGCATGCAGCTTGGAGGGAACTTTTATGTCAAGGGAATCTTCAGTATATGTGAATGAGTCAGTGAGTTATCATTCTCTGTCTTTTATTTTGGAACACCAGCATCTATATATAATCGGTTACAATTTTAAAAACTATATTAAAACAAATAAAGCAGAGAAGCAGAAATTGTTAAAAGTATAGTCTAGTTTTTACCAGGTAGTTTAAACTCTTCTGGCTGTATCAGCATGATCAATTAATAATATATTTGACACTTTGTAACTGTGGATAGGCAACAAGTGGTCAGTGGAGTGGCCCAGGATCTCAGCTAAAACAAGAAATAAGAAAGTTGGTTTTCTAACCGAGTGATGAAGTGCTTCCTAACCACTTCTTTATTTTTGGTTCTCCTTTTTTTCTTTTATAATTGAATTATATATTTCTTTTATGTATTAAATTTTAAAGTTGTCCTGTTGTGTATCTTTCTTGCTTCTTCAAAATGTCTGATTTTACTTTCTTCCGCCCCATGTCCAAGTTATAATATATTTTTTTGCAATTTACCTGCCGTGTATCACTCCACTATACATTCTTGTGATCTTTGCAACCTAACTATAAACGTGAACAAATATATAGTCATTATAAACAAATTCTTAAAGGTTTCAAGGCAGGTGGGAAATAAGTTGATATTCTGTAATGTTAAGAAAATAATTCAACAAGTATTTCATTCTGACCTGGTGTGCAAGAAGAAACCTTATGAGAGCCATTCATGTTGTGTAGTGGATTGTAAATTTGTTGTGCATATACTATTCCTCTTCCACATCATGATCTTCATACTTCATAAAAATTTGAAATATGTGATATTGGGTTTTTTTAAGGTCCTGGTCAAACTAGCAATAGTTACGGTGTTGGCCGAGGGCGTGGCATGCAAAAGAAATTGAAGCGCAAAGACCGAGGACGGGGAAGAGGAATAAATAAAGGATCTGAAGAGGTAAATGAAATGGAAGTGCCTTGCGTTATTTTGACACATGGAGATTCTTATTTAGGTTGCTATGAAAGTGTTAGTTACAAAGAACCAGTATTTGTAAATTTGGAATAAGGAGGTATTCCGTATGATGACTGCATTAAGTGGCTTGTGTATTGCGGCCTAGTTAATGCAGGCATTATGAGAACAACTTTTGATATGCCTGATCTGAAGGCTGGATAATTCTAGTTTTGTACCTGGAAGAAAGTAAGATGAGCAAGATACATATTTATAGTCACTGAGTAGCCGCATTGCAAAATTCAAGTGATATTTTAAAAAATTAGTATTGTTGCAGTTAGTAAAAGATTTTCTGGAATGGCTAAAGTGTCAGTCAGTTCACTCATCACCACCTTCAAGACAAAGAAAGGGTAGCAACATGCTTTCCAATTTTATTGTATTCTTCATTCCAAATTAATCCTGTCTGTTTTGCAGTTAGTAAAAGATTTTCTGGAATGGCTAAAGTGTCAGTCAGTTCACTCATCACCACCTTCAAGACAAAGAAAGGGTAGCAACATGCTTTCCAATTTTATTGTATTCTTCATTCCAAATTAATCCTGTCTGTTTCCACATAAAATCACAGGAAACTCATG